CCCTCATTTCCGCCGTGGCCAAGCAAATTTTCAGCTTGCCCGGTGTGGATGCACACTCAGAGTAACATCACAAACATCATATTCACCTGAGTATATAATACGGACACACACACAAAAATCATATCATAGATTACACTGATATGGAAGGAACTAGATTCAGTTCCGAAATATCAAGAAATCGAACCGACTTGACCACATAGCTCAGTTGGCAGAGCATTGGACTAGTATCCCAACGGTTGCGTGTTCGACTCGCACCGTGACCAAACAAACTTTTCACCAGGTGTGAATGCATGCTCAGAGTAACATCACAAATATCATACAAAAACTCTGTTTTCTGACCATCAGAATTCTGTAAAAACTTCCCCAAAAGTCCAGGAAATGGCATTTCAGAGAATCTAAATTTAAAAATTTCTCACCCCCAATAAAAAAGAGCTTCCTACGTCACTGCATGCTTCTGTAATATGTCTGTGCGTACAATATGTGTATTTTTGTTTGTAAGTTGCATCTTCATTTTCCGGATAGCAAACACTTTCGTGGCTTCGTACGCCATGAAATATTCGGAATTCCCCCCAACTATACATGCTAGCTACGGCCCTGGTTCAAGTACAACGAAAACGTAAAGCAATCGCATCAACTAAACTCAGAAACACAACAAAAGCATTCTATTAACAAGTTAGTCCTTCATAGATATATTTTTTACATATACTGCTAATATTTTTTGAATTATTTCGTTATTAAATATAACCGTTAAATATTCCGTATAAATATTCAAAATACATAGACCATTCGGAGATTGGGCCGCCTGTGGGCAACCAAGGTAAATTATAAAACAATCATTTAATGGTGAATAGCTTGTTTACATGATATGTCTACTGACAGTCTACGAAATTAGAAAAGTTATTTGCCTGTGGAGGTTCCGTTGAACTTAGCCTTCAGCCTTCTACATGTAGCCTATATAAGCGAAAAAAATTTGGAAGTATAGAAGAAACAGAATAGCATGTTAAAATCTTACCAGTTTAAAGCTTTCAACTGCCTTGGTGTCCAGTCTGCATTCTATATTTTTTCCCCGCCACATATTTTCGCCAGCATTTACTGCGAAAAAAAATTCCCCGCCACAAGCTGAAAAAAACTCGACATTATCCTTACACCTTCCGCCAACCGCCATCTACTGATGGAATAAAAATCACACTAGAAACCTTTGTTTAGTTAAAGATGATACGAATGAGTCGGTCAGAGTCAGACATGACAGACAATCAATCTTGGCTTGTGAATTTATAAACAAGTTATTCACTGTATTATACATGGAAGTGCCACAATACTGAATAAAAAATTGCAGTTATTGCTTTAATAAAACGTTAACTGCATAATATATAAATGAAACGTAATATTACAAATAAAGGCAATATGAAACACAAGCAATATTGGATGATTATTGCAAAGTAAAAGTATATATAAATCCCAACGTGATTGTGATCTTGGCCGCTCATTAATACGTGATCACTGCGTCTGCATTTTCATAATAGAAATGGTAACCTAGCGTCACTTTTCTCTATTCTTTTGATCACTTTACTGGTGTTGCCGCCTGTAGGTGGTCGCTCACAAAGCACAGGAGCTTTTTTATTTTAGCCCTTTCTTCTTGTCACCATTGATGTAGAGATTTGCAACCTCTTTGATCATCCTGTCTTCCTGCAAGACATTCGGTAGACACCAGTCCAGCTTGGTACGGAGTGACAAAGTGTCGTTACTTTGACCTGGAGGTTGCTGTTGGGATTTCGTTGTTGAGTAATACGACTCTACAATCGATTCTGGGCCACCCTTAGCCAACGCGATATCAATTACTAGACAGACCTCCTTTCCAAACATTGTATACACATCTTCATCAGTGTATATGGATTTGTACACAGCCTCTTCGTTTAGTGTCACACTCATGAACCAGGCACACTCATGAACACTGAGTCACTGACCTCATGCATTATTCAAATTCAATATAATATAATAATGTACAGTGTTGGTAGTGTTACGTGTCGTGTACATATTTGATGACAGATTAATTGACAGTTTGAGTTAATAACATGAAATGTAAACCAAAGTGAAAGTTGAATTTCGAAAATCAAATGATTTAATTTATAAATAATTCGTGAGAATTCATGATGATGAATCAGGACTGATTCAGCAAGTTAGCAATCAGTACGAGAAATAAAAAGCAAAGAAAAACCCTTGTGGTGACTGGTGAAATTGAAAATTGTAAATGAGATGAGCATTAAATCGGTTGACTCACCATAAAGATTAGTTTTGCCAGCGCCTAGCGACTCTTAGCACATGTTTACGGCCTCGGTCTCGGAGCGAACGCTAACATGGCTCTGCGGGGACTGGGAACGAGATCTTACGACAAGTATACCCGGGGGCCGGGAATCGCGAATATATACGGTTTTAATTCCAAACAGATGGTGTTTCTGTTTTTCATGCTTTGTCGGTTCAATTACAGAATAAAGAAGAAATTTTATTTGCTTGTTGACAGCAATTCTTGTACGCCATTTCTTTATCGGGGAAATTCCTCTTGTTACGCCAGTTTCCCCGTCAAGCACAGCTTAGATGCTGTGATGTCCGCCAAATGTTCCTTGGCGGGGTCATTCAGACCTTCCTGCCCGCCACGGATCTGTGGCGGAAGGGTCCGTGAATGCAGACTGGCTTGGTGTGACGGTGTCTGTTGGTAACCTAATGGCCTTAATTCAACCTGATTCGTTCTTTCGTTGTTGTTGCACCAACAAAAATACATCAGTTCATAAAGAGTAAGTCCAGAGTACAACACAACATGAAAAACACAGTACAATTCGGTCAAAATTTAACAAAATTGCCAGAAATATTATTTGCCCACTCATCATGCAACCGCCATTTTGAAAATGAACTATATATGTCACTGAAGCATACTTACAAAATCACCCATAATATCCATAAAATACATCGATATACCTGTAAAATGTTCATTTTGTGACACCAGGAGACAGAAAAATAGCGTTTTAAAGCTCCCTCGGGCTACGCCCGACGGAGCAAAAATAGGAAAATCTGATTGCCATATACATCCTTGCGCATTTCGTATTTTCAGACTCCCCACATTGAATTGTGCTTGTAATTATAGTGGGAGTCCTACCTTTTCCCCAGGCCCTTTTTCGGGCAAATTTGCGGTCCTGTGAAAATTTCCGGGTCATATTTAGAAACTAAAGGGAAAGAGGAAGGGCCTGCCATATAATCGGGAATATGTGTGGAAAATCGGGAATCCAAAAAATCCCTTTGAAATTTCGTCCATCATTAGTTCAAATTAATTTCTCACGTAAGCTGGGTTAATTTTGGACTTGCTGACCAAAAATCAAATGTAAATACGGCAAATAAAGAAAGAAATCGATATACGGCCGGCGTCATATTTAGACGAGAATGCAGAAAATACACAGAAATATTAAAGTGCACCAAGATCTGCTGTTCAACCACATCCGACCATCTAACATGACGTCTTTTATCTTCTGATTTGTTTCGAATTACATTCTGAATTGAAGAAATTTGATCCGCTGAAACATGAAACGGTATTTTTGGCCATAATATGTTGTGCTCGTCGTTCGACGGCAGCGATGTGTATATTTGCAATATATCGTTTTCTGAAATGGAACTTGGTATGTTATGCAGACATTGTTTATTATCACTCAAAAGACAAAGAACAAGCGAACAACGAGACGCTATGATTACTTCCTATGTTAATTAAAGCGCGTTATTAATATATGTTTATTTCCTGTTTATGACTGACTTGTTTATTACTAACACAAAAAATCGTCTATGTATTACCCCCCCCTCCCCCTTGTATAAGCCCATCAAAAATCGCTTACGAAAGTATAAGCCCAGGAGGTTTACGTATAAAAATACCATGAACTGGTTTAATTAGAAGATTGTCGTGTGGAAGTCATGTAAATTACTAGTTACTATTAACAATAATATTCCCCTCTTGCTTTCCTAAATTGGGGAAGTCATTGTAGTTTTCTTATATCTTGGGGATGACTATTCCAAAGAACTGCCCCACTATGGCAAAAGCTCAGTGGCGCTTTGGGACCCATGTTTTTGAGGGGGCCAAGGGCAGTACTTTTACGATAACCGAAAAAATTTTCCGACAAACCAAACATTTTTCCGGACAACAACATTTTAAATCTTCACCCCCCCTCCCCGTCGATAACTTTGACAATTTCCGACAACATTGACAATTTTCCGACAATTTCCGACAACATTGACAATTTTCCGACGGGTCTCAACAATAGGGGGGACATGCCCCCCCTGGCCCCTCCGGCCACGGCGCCACTGCAAAAGCTTCGTTTTAGATAATTCGTTCGTGGCTTTGGCAAATTTAACCGTATTTCGGAATTTCTTATATTCTACTGTATATAAATGTAGAACGAAATTATAACCTTCCCTAAGCCATTCAAATAAATATAATAGAATATACAATATTTACGCTGCCCTACTTACATTGCTCAAGTTGATATTACACATATATACATTTCTCAAACAGCTTGTTACATTGATTACTGTCAATACTGTGTGACATTGACATATATAGTAGATATTATAATATATCATATTTACATAAATATGTCAGGAAAATATCAATAGCTCAATATAGTTAAAGAAATAAGAAAAATATACAATTGTAAATATATACAATTGTGAACGTTTGCATGTCCAAACTTTATAATAAATTCTCTTAAATCACGATCGATAGCGTATACTCAATACCTACTACCTATATGTGCCCACAAAATAAAAAAATGTTCAAGAGCCTTGAACGACAGAAAAATATCGAGCCGCATTGGGAGGTTTAAAACATTATTGGGCGGCAATGAAAATCCACCTCCTCAAATGGTCCGCTCCTAATGCATAATATTTCAGTAAAATCCATATATAGTATAGTCGTCGCATGCAAATCGGCCATTCCTGCGTGTGAACCTCTTAGGTTTATTATTAAAACGGGGATTATTTTCATTATAAAACAACAAGTCAGCACTATTTAAAGTACGAAAATGTCAGCAAGTGAATGTCATTTAATAATGCCTAACAGAAGCTCCAAAACTAAGGCGCTTTTTTACAATATTTCCAAAGGTTTCCAGAGCAAGACGCCGTACAGCCATCATACATACGTATTGAATCAATTGAATGCCGATTAAAAAATTCCAATGCTAAAATTTCGAACGGATGAAAACATATTCATTTCACAGATCTAAGGCTGGTATACTTTAATTTAGGGTATTATAATTAGTTGCGGCAGCAATCATGTGTTTATAAAATGCTCCACTGTCCGCCGTCCGTCGTCCGTCGTCCGTTGTCCGCTATCCGCCGTCCGCCCGCCTTTTACCTTTTTATCACC